GATGAGTAAATACAGTAGACTTACATGCCATTGGTGGGTCGGCAAATTAGTGCGCTCTAATCTACCCCTGACCTGCGCGGCGGCTGAGTAAAAACGAAAGACTCTTATCAAATGCACTGTAGAAACGTCCCACGCGCCTTTACGAAGCGCATATTTGGCTATTCAACCGCTCTTTCATACAGAGATAGGTGAAATGTGTCAGCTTATACGCCGTAACGACGCTTCGCTGCCGCGCAGACCACCACTAGTCGCACGCGGGCTGAGTATACCGCGAGGACGCCCACCCCTACGCGGAGTCGAACCGGTGACCTTATGGTTGGAAAGCAAACGTGCCGACCACTCGGCCACCGGCCGACAGAGATAGGTGCAAGCAGTTGGATCTTGAACCTCTGGGGCCACGAAGAATGCAATTAAATCTGTGCTTCCCCACAAACTCGCTTGGCGGAAAGCATATATTGGAACCTATCAATTGCACTTTCGGACAAATACCAGTTATGGACTGAGAGATAGTGAATGCATATTCTATTTACCTAAATTCAAGACCAGCCTAAGGAGAAATTTCTATCTTCTTAGGCATGGCTCCATATGGGATAAGCTGCCAAAAGAGATTTGATGTATTAAACATTTTTTATGTTCAAGAAAATGATAAAGGCTTATCTGTCAACGGACAGAGCGAAATGGATCTTAAATATTCAACTTGATGATGAGAAGCTGTATGAAGAAGGGCCGGATCATGTATGATACCGGAGAACATCGACTCGAATGCACTAGAGAAAACATGATCATCTAGTATGAGCTGTTACAAACCGCTTCTTATGCTCTCCTTAACGCTACATCCTATGCGGTTTTACTCCTTTCTAACTTAATTCACACCAACTGTCTTCTGTTTAAAACAGAGAGCAAAATTATTTACTGGTGTGGCGTCAGGAACAATTTTCGTAATTTTCCCCACAAATTGATTAATTCGTAATATTGTTCTGCGATCCCCTTCACTACATTTGTTCTGCAGTGCTAATCATTTCCCCATCTTTTCTGGAGTTAACAGTCCAGAAACCTATACTTGAATTCAGTGATGGTAATAACTGATTCCCCATGCGACTTTTGCCTATGGACAACTTGTACCGTTATCTGTCTCCGGTTGTCACGCTACACAATTTATCGTATGATCGGCTCGATCCATTTCTACGCCTACGTAAAAACATACCTGTCTATTTTTTACATTAACGATATAGTATCTCATTCACATAATTCTTCTTATCTACATTTTTCCTTATTTCATAGTTGGCCACGACTGGGCTGATCTCCTGTGGTGACGGATTATAGCTTCCAGATTATAAAAGATTTTACCTATGCAAGGCACATTGTCACCAACTGACTGGCGTATAAAAAAGTGCCATAATTGAGTGATCCGCATGACGGACTGGGCTGAGGCTTCATCGCTCAAAATACGTGTAAAAGCAGCCCTATAAAGAACAGAACATTTGATAAACAGGTGATGGCTCCTATGCTACTATGCCACACCGGCACGCGGCCAGGTATTGCATGGAAGTGCGGACGAAACTTTTCGAGGGAATAACTTGCATGGAAGCAGGTGCCCTGGGGGTGGTTCCACGAGTAACCGTATTACTTTAACTGGACATCTGTTTAAATCTGTATATGTTATTGCTCCTGGTTTTTTAATTTCTTTAATGCCTTAATCCTGCCAATTACTTTAGTACCTGTTTTGAATCCATCGTAAAAAGCGTGGACAAATTGATTATTTTTTGCGATCCTGTTTTACACATTGATCAGACCACATAGTTGGACTGCACCTCGAATCACCGAGGAATATACCATTTATTTATAGCTGGTTTCAGTTTTGATCAAGCGGAACATTTATGTGGATTATTGAACATCCACTAATTTCTGTGAAAATGTAGAGGAATTTGAATAGAAAATCATCACTCAGTCAAGCAACCATAACACGTTCAGAAAAGCACTGTCTGGCCGCTTTATATTTTTGGTGGTATCAGCACGGACTGGCAACAGTCGAGTTGTTGGTTCGAATCCCACAAAGCTCAGCTGGAATGCGCACTGCTGATGCTTCGTGAAAGGATGGAACGGCAGTACAGTGGTTCGCCTGGCGTGTAATGGCTATCTGACTGAGTTTAGATGTCGTGAATTTCTAAACTGTTGCATGGACACTGACTAGACCAAACTTACAGACTCTTGCTTCTGGTAAAGCTCGGACAGTAGTAATTTCTGCATACGTTGCAACATAGTGAATCGAAGGATGAGACTGTCTGGCCCATTGGTATTTGCTCTAAAATAGTCTGTAATTGATGCAGAAATTGGAATAAAAAAGAAGTAAACTGTTCATTGTCGAGTTACTTTATAAGTACGAAATTTTGTCTACATAGGTTAGCACTGCGCCAGAAGAGTGGTCGGTTGACCGCAGGCATGGATCCCTTGCTGGCATAAACTAAACATGTGATGTAGATTAATAAGCAATGTCTTTTTATACACTGATCACTGGGGCGATTCCCATTTCTCGGCAAATCTGCGTCTTGTGCTGCGGAGCCCATTTGGCATAAGCTTTCACCGTGCTGTACCCTCCTCACATGGGACTCTCCTTCGTCACACACAAATAGGTGTGTTTCGTTTTGTTACTAATTGTAGTCAGATTGACACGCATTTAGGTACCCTTAAACTGGTTGGTAGTAGTTTCCTCCTGAAACGTTACCAGATAAAGTTATGAGGTAAGCGTACATGTGCTTACTTTAGGTGCCATCACAACTCTTGAACTGATAAGCAAATGTAGCAACATAATGTGGCCTTATTATTTGTCGCACCATCATCAGCCAAAAAAGCAAAAGATAGGCCCCATTGCGTTTGAGCTTGATAAGCAAACCATGAACCTAGTACAATTCCTTTGCAAGATTGTTCTTGCAGGCAGCCCCGATAATCGATAGAAACGCCTTGGACCCTGTGTGCCGCGATTGCTTGCCACTGCAGTTGCTGTTACCTGGGGAACGAAAGTGCTGAAGACTTACATTCCAATCTTGTAGTCTGTTTGTTCTGGAACGAAGTTTATCAACAAACACGATCCACAAGCACACCAAAATGCATCACAGTTTTTTCTCCTCGCACATGGCAGATGAATGCAGCACTGTGTACCAAAAGATGAGGGTTACCATATCTTCCACTGGAATCAAGGTAACCAACACCGGAATAGTCATTATTTTCACCGTCATTTCAGCGTCGTTTTACAAAGTTACTCAGGTTGAGCATTTGCAGCACTAGCAAGTTCATTGTTTCTGGCATCACTTTATTCCGCAACATCATCTGCGCAGTGGGTATGACAGTGGTTTCAGGGGGACCAACTCGGAACGCTTCGACCGTCTTAAGCTTTCTTGCCCACACACGACCACCATCATTAGAAGCTGGTTCATCAGCACCCGTTGTCAAACATTGCCTAAATCTAAGGCACCATCTTATCACAGTATTTCCTTTTCAAACTTTTTATACTTTAACATGGCGCACAAATGACGTAATTGCAAGATTTCAGTGAGCCTAGTTTCTACAGCATCGCTCATGGTGTACATAAACTTTTCTTTCAAACAGTTACCCTAATCGTTAATGACTGGTCCCTTATACAAACAGGAAGCACAAATGCCACTCAGAGGTCAGTGAAGACGCTTGTTCGCTCCTCAATTGTGCCGCATGTCAATGTAGCGTATGGAAGCCCTTCTAGGGGTGGACTCGTATACTGGTCAGTTGACAAAGTCTCCTTGATTCCGGTTACGATTGTGATATCTTTCTTGGAATCGATTTGCTTCTGCCAACCTACTCGCCAGTGTACTAAGCTTTGTTCATTCTTTTCAATGCAGTTATTTGGTCAAATCACCTCACCTTGGGCCTATGAATTATCAGAAGGTGCGTGCCGAGTCTGCCGTACATCTTGCCCGACTTCCTGAGCAATCCAATCAGCAACGACTTTATCAGTGTGTCCCATAGATTCTGTAAACAATTTAGTTATTACGAAATTTTGTGAAGCTTCCAGACAGCTTATACTGGAAACGAATTTTTCTTTATTTCCGTACCTCACTACGTTCACCATTTCATACCTAGAATTCCCCATTCCTGGCGTGAACACAAAATGCCCTAAATCACCACGGTGATTTCTCACGATATTCTCTCTCGCACGTAGCCAGTTGCCACTATTATAGGACAGAGAACGATTACCTAGCCTAGCAGTATGAAGCTAGTTAGCCAGTGACGGTAGAACCCGATTCCACTACTGCATGTGGATGAGACATGTGCGCATCAAATATTAATTGTCCAAACTACGCACTAAACCAATCGTTCAAGTTCAACAGCAAGGAACTATCAACCAGTATGTTGTGCAATCAGATGGCCATGGAGTGAGTGATATATTCCGACTACCGGGAGATTCCCATTTTTTCACTCGGATACTAAAACCTTATTCTATCCCATCTATTGTACAGCTTATGATTGTGGCATCAACTCCTGGTCGGAAAATTTACGCGGTTCAGTTTGACTCCATAACCATCCGAAAGCCACCAATGTCTTCGGATTGCCGTCATGTTTCAGGCTAAGTTACGTGCGCCAACCGCATTCTCAACTGTCCAGATGGGTGTATAACCGTGCAGAAATTCATAGTCAGTGCTGGAGTGCTTTTGTCTGTCATGTTTCGTAGCATCTATCCCTATTGTGTATCCTCAAAAATAACATTTCAATTTCATTTCTTCAATTTGCAGGCTGGCCATTTTGACATCGCATCGATCTATCGTTACGCACAATCATTCGCACTGTAAACAGCATGCCAATATGGTTGCGCACTGGAACATCAACAGGAGTTTTTCGTATGAAGACGTACCTTTGGGTAGCAAATCAAGTGCATCCCTCAACAAACTTTCATAATGCCGAAGCGTTGTCAGTTTCCTTTGCAGTTGGTCTCGTCTGCAAATGGACATGACGCGTAAACGCTATTAAACACTGTGTTCGCAAAACACTAAAACTGTGTTTTTTATCATAACGGACCGCGTGGCAACAGTAACGTCTACATGCACATGTTTAGCTATAAAACAGGCTAGAAGCTTAAATTCAGTAGATGAATTCTTCTTAGTTTCTCTCTGATTATAATAAATAACGTGTCAGTAAGAAATCAGTGCAGATGTACATTTTTAACTACATATTGTGATTCGATTGAACATTTGTTTCGTAAGGTCTGTACATCCAAGGCAACTGACGGCCAAGGTGCAAGCCAACCAATTTGTCCTCTGTGACTATTGAGTTCCCATGGCGAACATATTGACTGATCAATCCAAGTGTAAACGACTATCAACGTGGAGGGTTTCGGTGTTGCTCTCTCCCATTCCTGCACTGCACGACGCGTTTCGTCCTGGTTTGGACACATCAGATAGAGATAATTGGAATTGAAATTGGAACTCGGCACGTAGTGGTTGACGGCTATCGTAAGATTGACATACTTTCGCGCGCAGAATAACATTTCATGCGGAATGTGTTCAAGTTTGACCACTGGATTTGCCCGGCCAACAGGTAACACTTCCTATCACCTTGAACTCCCTCGGGTTCGGCGTGTTCTGTCTCTTACACCCGCATACAGTACAACGATGTTCACCAGATCCGGCATGCGTTTGCACCTTCAAAGCGCAAAGTATTGCCGCAGGACTGAATCGATAAGCCAGCAATTCTAGTTGTTTCTGCACAGTCCCTGGAACTGGTGGATCTGTTCACTCTGCTGGCTTTGTCACCTCTGGTGATCACCTCACTGAGGAAGTTTCTTCGGGGATCAGCAAGGTCCTTATGCCATTTCAGAGGCTGAACCATTTATGAAAACTATGCTATATCAGCTTGTCAGTGAAAGGTGAGAGGGATAAGGTTTCCATAAGGCTGGTGTCACTATATGAATCTGAGTCCTGCCCAGTTCTTAATAAAGACATGAAACACTTGACCGTGTTAGAGCACTAGTGCTTGAGGAGTATTGCTCATATCTGATGCGAATACCGGGTGAACAATAATGGGGTCCGCTAGTTGGCTTTGGGTAAGAAGCCCTCTGGCGCCTCACGCGAGTATGTGCTGAATCTTAACCACTCGCATTGGTTAGGTCATATCCTCCGCATCTTCGCTGAGCAACTTCTTTAGTGAGCATCAGAAGCCGTTACTGCACCAAATTTGGCGAAACTGCGTACTGGTCAGTCGCCCACCGACGAAGTTATGGAAACCGCTGATTGTCAGATGTCTTGGATTGCCACACTTAGTCTCAACTGTGGCTTCGGTTGAGTTTGTAATCAGCCTTTGCTCCCGGATCTCAATGGTCTAGTACACATGGCGATATCGGCCAACCCATATGTGCTGAGTTCCACTCCTAACTCACGTTATCTCCACCTGATGAGTCCGAACCAGGGCGAAACGCGTCGTGCACTGCAGGAACAGGAGAGAGTAACACCGGAAATCACTTCTATCAGGGTCCCAGTGATAGGAATGGCACAGGCTGAGTTCAAATGCAACCGAAGCCTCAATTGAGAGTGTGTTCACAAACTAAAACACACGGCGGGATACTCCAAAACCCAACCATCTACTACCAATATCTAGCACTCATCCGCGACCTATACGGTCAGCACAATGCCCACCTATCAAACTTTGCAGTGCCCATTTTTTGCTGACCCAGGTAACTAAATTTTACAAACATTAGCACTCGCACGAATACCATCGTGTTATCTTGTGTATTTGATTTTACAGCTTGTTGTAAATCGATTTTATCCCATTCATGCCGTGGTATATAGCGGACCGGGTTTCGGATTAGTGAGCGGGGAGTTTGTGTCGCACAGCAAAAGCATTTTCAGGCGCGTATTTATGCTATGAACTTCACCGGGACACCGAAGCAATTTTGCCTAACCAATGGTTGAATTTCAATTGATGCTAGATACTGATATTTTGTGTCTACCCGGTCCGTGATACACCAATTGATACTTTGCATACAGTCTTACTGTCCATTAGCTTGAGATTGAATAATGTGAATTCTTAATTGACAGGACCTGTGATCGAAATGTTTCTTGCAGTTACTCTGGCTCCTGATCCGGAGTAATCGTCAAAAGCATTTGGTAAAAGTGACCATCATAACGGCTGGTTTTCTGTTCACTAAAACGCTGTGGACGATTTCGATATTCATAAAATGAAATTTGGATGCCATGTCCACTCTGGAGTTGTTAAAAGCTGGTACTTCTCCTTTCTGCTTGGTATCTTGTAGACTCACGGTTATTCAACGAGATCTGTTGAACTTTTCATGGTATATTTTTACGACATTTCGGAAGAATGGATCCTGATACTGTCCCATAGTTATCCTACTTCTCAAATGAAGTACGCCTGAAGCATGATTGCTTGAGCGGCTGTGTTCGCATTGGTGGCGTTGTATAGAGTAAAAGAACGAATCAATCATGCCATCGCTGCTTTCTCTACCATGAACAACGGTAGTATTCCGAGTTTGAAGAGCAAATTTATTGTCCAGACTTATCATTGGCCCAAGATAGACAGCTACGAAGACCACTCACTTTCAATCACCATTGCGCCTCCTACTTAGCTGGTTACTGAGAGAAAGTACGTGTGGACATTCGTAACAGTTTGACACGTTTGTGTTCCCAGTAGTTACTGCCGGCAGAATGTGTTAATGTACTGGCTGCGGTAGATGATGAACAATGCGGCTCCTAAGTAAAGGCAGTTTGTGCAGCTACTAACAGATCACTCATTAAGCTCCCTTAGCACATTTATCAATGATAGGTAACTCCATGTGCTCACCGTTTCAAGGCTTCCTCTGTTTGTTGACCAATAAACTGCAGTTCTCTCATGCCCTGCTCCTGCATAATTCTGCTCTCCTTAATGGCACGCCGTTGCCTCCATTGTTTATTTAAATTGTCCAAAATGAATCGGTTGAAGTTGCCTCGTCGGGATTGGAATGCAGCCTGGCTGTCTGCAAGAGCTTTCCTCTTATCGCTGTATAACGACATTTCCTCCTGCAAAGTAAGGATACAGCAGAAATAAATGGCCATCAAAATAACCTGGTAGGTTATCTAAAAATCGTTCTTGATGTTGGTTAGAAACACAAATGAGTTGTGATTATCCGTTCGTTATATTCATCAGATTGTACTCATTTACCTATTAACTGACATCGTCGGAATGACATTATGTCCTGAGTATCATTAAGTCACTTACTTGGTTGCACGTTCATCCACTTGTGCGTCATTCGGTATAAGTATACTTTGGCATCGTCAACCAGTTTTTTTGGATTGGATCGACACATCTGCACCAATGACGATGCTTATTACGGTTGGTACTTGGTACAACTCACCTCAGCTAGACAAACCTGTGTCTGTAACCTAATTTACTACGGAAAAATGTAGCATTGTGGAATTGTGAACATTACTGGATGCATGATCGAATGAAACTGATGCATCCAAACACCCCTTTGATACGTGTGCCACTAACATCTGCACCCCCAAACCCAACCATAGTGGTAATTGGCAACGTGTAGAACCTATCGGCGCCACCTCTTGTGCCGAGCATTACCAGTCCATTGGAGCATCCCTTTATCAGGCGGCTTTTAAACCTAGCACAGTTATACTAATTGTACAGCGGCCTCAGTACCCCGAAGTTTCCACCACCACCATCACCACCACCACCACAGTGGCTACCGAGGCATGTAGCAGCAATACCATAGCCCCATTTCTCAATGAAGTCCTAACTGCCACACCAGCAAGTCACGAAAATGTCGCTTATTATCAATACTCGTACTCTAGATAATGAAATACATATTTTGCATCATCTGTGTACTCACACTACTTGAGCTTCGTTTCTGAAGTCTGGGCCACAAGATGGACACAAGCGGTTCATAAACCTAAAACTTAAAATGTTTTAGGTCTCACATTTGTTCAAGATGTACACCCCACATGTATCGATGTATCTTGCTTCCCAGATAGTGATCGTAGAATCGTGTACCTTACTTTCGCGGCACCCGATGCGGCTACACATCGTAAAACAAGACTACCGATGATAGAGCCCATTAGAGATTTTAGGAATATAACCTGGGATAAATCTGCTATACTGCTGCGTACAACGAACTGGGATCTAACTTTTCACACCAGAGATCTACGGGTTGCGACAAACGAAACGTACACACTTAACCAACATTGTCTTCATGTCTTTGCTCCATTCGTACTGAGATCCGATGGGAATGTTTCCAATAAAATTAAGCGCGAAACACCTTCTGCGTAAGCGAAAAATACTGCGCTCAAAAATAAGACGGATGCGTACGTTCTCCGTGCTTATCAGAGAGAATAAGCTCTTTGAACAGTTACAGTCGTGTCGTGTCACAAAGCGAGCACTGACACAGGACAATTAGCGCATGAAGCGTTGAGCAAGCTGATGAAGGCTAAACACAACAGTCAAACTAAATCACTATAATAAATCGTACAATCCGACAAAACTATGACTGCGGACTCCATCATAAGAGGGAACGTCCGAAATGAACGTTTTTCCACTTTGTTTACCATCTCAAGCAACACACGTCAGCTTAGCTCTCCCACTAATGTTGGCAAATTGAGCGAAGTGGAACTCGATTGCGGCATCATTCAAGCTCACTCTGATCGGCCATGGTGTTCGTCTTGTCCTGGACCTTATGAGCTACCAACTACTCAAATAAAGTTTGGTGACAGAGATAGATTGATTCTGTTTCTTAACATGTTTACACTATCTATGAATTATGAGATACTCCCGAATCAATGACAACACTCCAGTATATAGCCCAGACATAAGAAGGGTTCCAAACTAAGGATAGGAAATTAACGGCCAATTAATCACACACACACACACACACACACACACACACAGCTTTGTCCAAAGTTGACTATATAAACAAATTCGACAGAATTCTGAACGGTAAAACGAAATTTGCTCGAACAGTTGGAGAAAAGACCAAACGGAGAGGATCGAAATGCTGATGAATAAAAGCTTGCAAGAGCTCCGGAATAATGGATAAATCCCAAATACTCTCTATGACAAACTTAAGCCGAGTGGCACGAATGCCTCGGGGCTTTCCAGGTTTCAAATGGTGAATAATTCCCGATTCAGTTATAAAAAGACCATATTGCAAACATGCTCGTTTTCAGTTATTCATCACCAGGCCAAATACATCACATTTAAATAGTTACTATGAGAAGTAATGGATTGAGTCACTGGAAAATGATAGGGTTAAAATGCCCAAAGTGGGTGTGATTCGTTCACGCGGAAGCTAACCGGACGACAACTGGTCCTGGCGAAGCCAAAGCTTTAACGAACTTTAATCGTGACTTCTACTTTCTACAAACTTTAACGAACTGTTTGTGCGTACAAAGAGGGGGCTAGTTAAGACGAATCGCGATCACCTCCACCAATGCAACGATTCGGCATCTGATAAGTTTGGTATGAACACTCCTCACGCGGTAGATCGAGCGAAAGTCTTTAGTGATAACGACGAGGAGATTCGTTTTGGCTAAGTGCGCAACTATCGCGGTGGTGCAGGTTTTGTTCACTCCTCGGCTTAGCCACTCCGGGTAATGCTCGCGGAAGCGTTCAGATAAACGTCTCGTGGTGCGACCTATGTAACGTCCCACAGTAACAGGCAAAAGGTGACATCCACAAACAGTTTATCCTTCACTCGGTGTAGCCTGGGCGTGGAAGTGAAGATAATGCGTACCTGTGCGGCCCCATAGGTGCTAATGACGGCCGATCGTAATGGTTTGCTAAGGTTCACGGAACTGTTTTCTCCCTTGAACGGCAGCAATAAGTAGCCAGACTTCTTTCTTACTATAGGTGTTTTGACGATCACACAATTCATTCGCATATTCCTATCAATGGAGGCTTGTAGGTAGCCGTTAGTAGGAGCAGGTTTCTTTTTATTGCACGCTCTGCTTCTATTGTGTTTTGGAGCATAATTGCGTCGCTCTTCCTACAAGACAACGGACCAGCTTCTGTCTAGTTTTTGTCAAATTGACACCAAGTTATCGAAATGCGTATATTGACTCATCCACGTCGCTTTCCTGTGGATTCTCATCAGCATCATCAACAGCAGTACATCAGCCATTTGAAATAATACTTCGCTACCACGCAACCATGAGGACTTATGAAATAAAGAATAAGAAGAGGGGGAGAAGGGGGACTTACCTGAAAACCATAATGCCCTAAGCAAACATTCAGGGTCAAGGCGCCTACACCTTGCGTAGACAACATACCTTCACAAACAGCTGGCTATCGTGCAAAGATAAGGCGGCATCGGCGAGACAGCTTCATTGCGGCTTTCACTGCCACGCGTCATAATCAGACATTACCCCGCAGATAACTCAGCATCAAACACACGTTAAACAGGCAATTCGACTAGGAGACGGCAGCAGACGCGCCACTGCTGTCTACTGCGAGCCATGTCCTGTAAACTCTCGAGCCAAGCACAAGGCGAGTCATGTGGACTCCAGCCCGGAAGGCGAGACGGACCAACGGCACCCAGCTTGGTCGTCAGTAACTTCCTTTCCTGCTGCCAAGTCAACTTCTGTCGACCTCGAGCCTTGCGCCACCCTACACCTGACAGAATAAACAAGGCCCTCCTAGGTAAGTGATGACCAGGCATACGTAGCACGTGCCCGAGCCAACGCAACTTATTCAGTGCTATCTGTTGTTCTATGGAGCTAGCATGATTATCACTACCTAGTACTCGTATTCGCACATCATCGTTGAGGACACGCTGGTGCCATCCGATTCCAGCAATGTTTTGCATACAACGATGATCAAAGACTTGAAGGCGCCTCAGATCTTCAGACCGAAGGGGCCAAGTCTCACTTCCATAGAGCAGAGCGGCCCTCACTATGGCCTTGTATACCCGGCCTTTCAGACGGAGGGAAACTCCGTTCTGTCATCAAAGGTGACGCAAGTTCAAGAAGGTAGCTCTGGCCTTTGCAATGCGTGAGCTGACGTCAGTTTCTATGCGCCCATCATTGCTGATGCAGCTGTCAAGATAAGTGAAAGGATCAACCACTTCGAGCCATCGGGTCTACGTGACATCTGAACATCCAGGAAAGCCAGACCCTGAAATGACGGGTTGTACGCAAACCTGAATATTCTTGTGGGCCCGATTGAATTTCCGTAATAATTCAACTTGGTCTACAAGGCCGTCAGATATGCATATCACATCATCGACATAGTGTTTATAGTGGCAGCTTTTTAATCATTTCACTCAACGGACGCTTCTCTAGTTTGGTCATAAACACTTCGGCGAATAAGGGACCCAGTTGTGGCCCCAAAGCTAGCCAGTCTTTTTGTCGGTATAACTGTCCGGCAAAGCGAAATTAGACGTTGTGGGTACATTGATGAACCAACGTTTACAGTTCTTCCACTGGTAAACCAATGTGCTTACCACTGCGCTTTACAAGTTACTGAATACTCCTAAGACTGATATCCCAATCCACCCAATTTTAGCAATAGCAATTTCACCTTACCATGCTGTCGCCCAATGATTTGTACAAATGCTTGAACCAATAGGACAGCGACTTACACACTACAGACTTTGGGGCACTTTTCATTGCATCCAAAGCATCAGAGACCGTACCATCAGTAAGAAAATAAGCTTTTCTTTGCATGCTGTCTCGCTTTTCACCAATGTCCCACTTTCTATACAATTGATTATATTGGCACCTATATAAAACAAACATAAACAACAATATGGATACCACTGCATGAGTTGAAAAGCCTACTTTTGCTTTCCATTTGAAACACAGTTCTTATTCAATGGCCCTAAGTAGAGACAAAAAGATAGTGTAGCTATGGGATCACCACTAGGTCCTTTGTTGGCTGATGTCATCGTGGCAAAATTAGAGGATACCAAGCTACCTGCGGAGATTACGTCCTTTGCATGCTACCACCGTTATATGGATGACATATTTGTTGTAGCCGATTGACCACGACGCTGTTATTGGACGCTAAAGCGCTCACACAGCATTACAGTTTGCCTGCGAGAAACAAGCGAACA